TCTGGCAGCAGATTAGACTGGAAGGACTGCTAGTCTCTTACATTTCTCTCACGGCAGTGAGCTGAATTGAGCCTTTGTAGTGCTTTATAATTTAACTGTTTCTTTCTTGTATTATATATTTAACTGTATATGATTTAACAGTTCATTCCTTGTTATATATCTAGTTATATTTATAAATAAATATATTAAATTATCAGCAATTTGGTCTTATCTCTATAGAGAACCCTGTCTAACACATATTTGGTACCAGGAGTGGGGTGTTGAAGTATTATCACTAGTGTTAAGACTAATCAGGCTGGAGAGACAATTTAAGAAGCCCATATTTATGATTTTATTTCTCTAGAAGCACTCCTGGTACCAAATATGTGTTAGACAGGGTTCTCTAGAGAGATAAGACCAAATTGCTGATGACCAAAGAGCGAGAGACAAGAAAGGCGAGACTCACCAAGGCATTTATCTCTCTGCCCTTCAGTTAATCCCACTTGTGTTTATCGGCCAGGCTGGCACAATAAACTATCTCAACATCTTTCTTGTATTCTCTGCTTTGAGCCAAGATTGATCTGACATCAGCAATGAAAGCCCTTGTTCCACATCCTCTTGTGAATCTGTTCTGAAATTCCAGCAGTTCTCCATCAACATGCCGCTGCAACCATTGTTGGATGATCTTACACAAAAATGTAATTTTGTGTGATATCAATGATCTCATTGCAGAGTTTGAACATCTTTTGGGTTATCTTTCTTTGGAATGGGCACAGATAGGGATCTCTTCCAGTCAGTTGGCCAGGTAGCTCTCTTCCAAATTTCCTGGCATAGATGAGTGAGTGCTACCAGTGCTTATTCAGCTTGCTGAAACATTTCAATAGGTATTCCATCAATTCCTGGAGATTTTTTTTAAACCTTAAAACTTTTATTGTAAGAATGTGACTATCCCAGTATTTACTCCTGTTGCCATTAACTCTTGCAAATTCCCTAGTGTCCTCCTCTGTTTCCATCATTTTAGGACTACCTCCCTCTTACTTTATATTGCCTTCCCCTTCACTAAAATTAATGTCTCTGCTCTTTAGTGATTTACCTTCTCTTCTCTCATTCCTGGTAACCATCAAATAATAGTTCCTTTAGTGTACATATCTTTTCTCGACTTTATATAAGAGGTTCTCATACAATATTTGTCCTTTTGTGATTGACTTATTTCACTCAGAATAGGGTCTTTCAGGCTTTCCAGGTTGTAAGGTGCTTTGCAGAGTAATAGTTATTCTATACTGTTGCATGGTAATCCATTGTGTATACATAACATAGTTCATATAGCAACTTGCAGGACAGGTTCTTGGCAACAAACAAATGTTATTTTTGGTATCTTGCTACGCGTTGACATTTTTAAGTTAAAACTTGCTTTGTTCTGTAGCATGCCTTCTGAGATCATCAGATGGGCCCCTGCATTGCCATCTCTAAACTTTGTGAGGTCCTTAAAGTGAGCCAAAGGATCCTGTATTCATGATCCAAGCCTGTTACAATGGAAAATATTGTCCAGTCCTCTGTTACTTGCTTAGAATTTATTCCTTATGTAATTAGATGATATATATTCAAAATGAACATAAAGGACTTTTGATGGCTATGTCTGGTAAAATAAATTTCGAACTAAATTTTAGAAGTGCTCTTATTGAATGTATGAGTTTTGCAGTTGTGGCTACAGTTAACATGTAGGGCTATTTATTATGCTTTTAAAACACAGGATTGTCTCTTTACTAAATAATGATAAATTCTGTTTTCATTCAGTTTTTGCGACCAGCTCTTCTTAAAATAAATGAATTGTGTTATCTGTTAAATTTTATGGGACTTTGCCACATTGAAAAAGGACATACGTACACCCTGCTAGAATTTAAAAGTGCACAAGTCGTACGGCTAGAGGAGGTAAGGAGTTTTGTCTGTAGCATTCAAGATCAATTTCCTATCACTACTGCTTCAGTACCGTTCATTCTACATCTTTATCAATGTCTAGGTGACAGAGCGCCTGGATGATTTCAGAAAGGAGGCAAAAGACATAGTGAGGCAGGCCTGCCGCATTGCTCTCCAGGCTGCCGGATTTACCCCGGATGACTGTGTGCATGAACACCGGATGGGTATGGATGAGAAGGAACATCACTATATCAGAAGTGATGATTTTCCAACTTATGGAATTTTCAAAATTCCGTTTTGTTAAGTTGAAACACTGAACCAGTCCCCCCCACCAATTCTTCCAACATTTTGCTTGATATGTTACATATGTAATGTTATTTGTTGAAAGAAATCTTGCATTTTCTTTGCCTTACTCCTGCTTGGGCACAATATTTCTAAAATGAGTCTAGACACAGAACCTTTATTTCATAACTATTTTACAGTGGATTGTGTAGTCTCTCAGCTTAATGGTGTGTCCAGCCTATTACTGTGGACAATGGACTTGTTGCAGCTAAGGGGCTGGATGGATCACAGGATTGACCTAGTTGAACATGGATTAGGAGAGGGCTGAACTGCAGGTGGAGAGGAGGGAGCCAGAGGTGGTCCTGGGGAAGAGGTGGTCTGTGAGCAGATCGAATCCTATTAAAATAATGCTAGTCTAATCTCCACAGACTCTAGTTGAATTGAAATCATTAACTTATATAAAATCTCTTACTTATATAATTGAGGCACCTTAGGGAGTTTTAAGTGCTTCATGAACCAAAGGATTTCATTGCTTTTTAAGTTTTTCTCACCTTTTCTTTTAATCCATATTAAGAAAAATATGAATGTTTACATAAGACTTCTTGTTATTGTGTTATCTGTTGTTCTTAGACTATCCCAGGAAAATGGGAAGTTCCGGTTACACTGATATGCAATTTGAACTGTCCACTTATGGCGAGTCTGAGAAAATGACATATACAGAACAGGCCAGCAAAAGGCATCATTGCATGAGGCTAACATGGTAAATGATCATCCTTTCTCTCAAGAAAAATCAGAGCATCCATCCTTTTCGAATTTCATTGACAGTTAAGTCCTTTGTCAGAAGATTCACAGCGGTGAGGAGGAGGTTTGTTTGTGGGGCTATAGTAGCTGCAGGCACATCCCAGAAGCTGCCCTTGACCTCCATTCAGCCTCTGGGACTGGAGCTGGTGAAGATTGGAGGGTGTGACCAAGGTGAAGAGCTCCTCTATGGTCTTGCTCTGACTCAGTCTGGCCCCTGGATCCAGCAGTGGATCAGGCTGTGGGAGGGAGAAGTCAGACATGGAGATTTGTGGGCCTCCTCCAACTGAACTGAAGGGCCAGCGCCACTTTTCTGCCTACTGGCAGCAGCACCATAGCTGTACCAAGTGCTTCCCTACCCCTGATGAGTGTTTTGGAAGCTAGGCAGCTAGGGAGGAGAGTCTGCTTCCTGATGCTTTGCCAGGGGACTCTCTCTCTCACTGGGATTGGCTCTGTCACCCACTACCCAATTGGATCTTGACAGAGACTGTCCCAGAGCTTGGATCTCCTATCATTCAAAAACCTGATGACTCACATAAGTCAGGGTGGCAAAAACTTGACTGACTACAAGTACAGGGATACCTAGGCTGTCCTACTCTGTTCCTTCCAAATTCATGCTCAAACACTGAAAAGTTCGAGAACTGCACATATTTTTCCCATAAGAAATAATGGAAAACCAAATAATTGGTTTGGAGACCCCAAAATTACACTTATAAATTCACTATGTAGACTCTTAGCCTTCTCGCAAATTGCTGTCACCATTGAGTAGTGTCTGATTTCTCCAAATGAACAATAACTTTCCAACATTACTGATGGTCCGGGTTCTTTGTTTCATGGTTAATGATTTCACGACTTTTGCCACATTAACAGCTTTAATTACATCCCTATCCCCCAAAAATGTTAATAGTGTCAACCTAGCCATGTTGTATTCAGTCACCAAACCAAACAAGTGGTGACCTAATTCAAATTTCACAATGATTTCTTCATTAACATATTGTGGTTCTCAAAGTTGTCCTCAGCTTTACTGCAGGTATCAGTAACTTCCTAGGGAGCCCTGGTTATGATATTTAATGCAACTAACACCCAAAAAAGCACAATGGTGAATGTTATAGCGCACTAACACAAGCACTCTGTGTTGTCTGAGCAAGAGTGGTGCTTAGACTGAAGCGCGCCCTTGTCTCTGAGGCGAGATGCTGCCAGTGAGTGACTTGCTCTCAGCTGATTCAGGTTTTTGCAAGTTGGATTTTCAGCTAAACTATTGAGCAAAGTTACGAACACATTGCAGATTTATTTTTTCAAAATTTGCTGTTCGAGGAGTGGAAAGTTCCAGCTTGCAGTTGTTGGGCAACCGAGGTATCATTGTAACTCTCCCAAACAGAATCACCAAGTCTGAAAGGTTGCTGCATGGTAAGGCACTGATCATTGGTATTCAGGGCTCAGTAAGTAAACCCAGCCTTTGCAACTACTTATTCCTTAAATCTCACCTGTGTCTGAGCTTCATTTTCAGTTATTAAAATCTCTGTGCCACAGCAGAAGTTAGCAAAGCAATCCTGGAGGCCACCATGGCTAGTGTGCAGGTGCTAGTGACACCTGGGGCTCCGCTTGAGCAGAATCCAAAGTTCTTCCAAATGTCTTGCTGCCTCAATCTGCATACCAAGTCCTGGATGGAGGAAGCAACCGAGAGATTTGCACCTCTAAGTTAGCACTTGCCTATGAAGCAGCATTTATTGAGTAGCAATGATTTCACGCTGTGTTAGTCTGGGTAGACTAGAGAAACAAATCCATAGAAACTTATCTGTGTACAAGAAAGAGTTTTCTATAAAGAGTAATGGTACATTAAGAAAGCATTCCCAATCCAGTCCAGTCCAAGCCCTTAAGTCCAATATTAGCCCGTATGTCTGATACCAAGCTATAAAGTCCTCTTCAGACTCATGAAACACAATGACGCCGAATGCAGGATGATCACAGGCCAGTGGGTAGAAAGTCTTTGGATCCAGTGGCATTGTAAGCATCTCAGTGCTGGCAGGGGTCTCCAAGTGGCTCCTCCAGTTCCCAGGGCTGCATCAGGGTAAGTCCATGTGGTTTCTCCTCAGGGATGTCTCACAGGAAGTAAGCCTTGTCAGTTGAGAATCTCCAAGGGAGTCAGCAGAGAGAGAGAGAAAGAGAGAGTCTCTGTATTAGTCTGGGTACTTTGGAGAAACAAAGCCACATCAATTCATGTATTAGAGGTTTATATAAAGGTTAAGTGAGCATTAAGAAAACATCCCAACCCAGTGCTGCCCAAGCCCACAAGTGCAACATTAACCCACATGTCCAAGACCAGTCCACAAAGTCCTCCTCTATCTCACAAAACAGAGGCAACAATGCCGAGTGCAGTAGGAAAGCCGAGTCAGTGAATGTGTAAGCATCTCAGTGCTGCCAGGGATCTCCACATGACTGCTCCAGCACCCAGGGCTGCATGGGGGTAGGTCCATGTGGCTTCTCCTTGGGGATGTATTGCAGGAAGTCAACCTTGCAAGCTGGAGCAGGGAGCTGCTAAGACAGCTGCACCCTGGTGCGACCACAAAGCAAGAGACCCAAGAACTAGCCTCTCCCAGCACAGGCAGCAAAACAGCCAGGCAGGTCACCAACTGTCAGTCCTCAGCTCCAGAGTTGTAAATTTCAATCGTGTGGTCTTAAAGGGACCTCAACTTACAGCGACACAGTCCACAGGCTAGGTGTCCCACAGGTAGTGTAGCCTGTAAATTGAGGCACAGAACAAGCAAGGCAGCTGCACGCTGGTCCGATGATAAAAGAGCGAGAGAGAAGAAAGGCGAGGCTCACCAAGCTATTTATCTCTCCGCCCTTCAATTAATCCCACTTGTGATTATCGGCCAGGCTGGCACAATAAACTAACTATCTGTCTCCCATCTCAAAGGAGAAAATATATGAGTTCCCAGAATTCTCAAGAAAAGGCCATGCCAACACAGAGGCTTCATCGGCTATGACCCGATTCACAGACTAGACTCCACTCCTTCATTCTTAATCCTCTCAAGTCCCAAAGTGACACCATATTATGTAACGACCACACAAACCTTTACCATTACCATGCAAGCTCATGGGTGCTGTATAGTCATTGATTTCATTTTTAAAGTATCTTTTAGAAAAATCCCATGGCTAGGTAAACTCGGTACATTCTCAGTAACAACTATATTGTTCATTCATTCTCCTCTATAGAATCCTTAGTAAACTTAGATATATGTGAATATTTGTGTTTTACAATGAAGACTGCCTAAAAATAACTTATTTATTTACAGATAATTTTATTGGGGGCTCTTACAGATCTTGTAACAATCCATACATCAATTGCATCAAGCATATCTGTGCATATGTTGCTATCATTTTCTAGACATTTACTTTCTTTTCTATATTGAAAAAATTTATTGTGCCTTGATGTGTATATACTTTTTTAAAAATCATTTTATTGGGGGCTCGCACAACTCTTACCACAATCCATACATATATCCATTGTGTCAAGCACATCTGTACATTTGTTGCCATCATCATTTTCAGAACATTTTCTTTCTACTTGAGCCCTTGGTATCAGCTTCTCATTTTCCCTCACCCTCCCTCCTTCCCTCGTGAACCCTTGATAATTTATTTTTTTTAAATGTATGTCTTACACTGGCCGATGTCTCCCTTCACCCACTTTTCTGTTGTCCAACCCCCTGGGGTGGGTTATATGTAGATCATAGGCATTTACTTTCTATTGAGCCCTTGGTATCAGCTCCTCTTTTTTCCCTCCTCACCCTCACCCTCGTGACCCCTTGATAAATTATAAATCATTATTATTTTCATATCTTACACCAACTGCTATCTCCCTTTCCCCACGGTTTCTGTTGTTCACCCCTCTGGAAGCGGGGGTGTGGTGTGGTTAAGCGTTGATCATCACGATCGGTTCCCCCTTCCTCCCTCCCCTGTCCACTTTCCCCTTCCCCTTCTGGTATCAATACTCCCATTCCTGTTCCTGGATTTCGTGTAAAAATAACTCTTCAGGGCAATACATCTCTGATATTGTAATATGATTTAACAAAAATTGAAGAATATACATTTAAAATGTTCATTACGTATGTTTTCTTTACAGTCACTTTCAAAAATATATAACGAATACTGAAAATTGAAGTTGTGTTGTTTTCTTTTCAAGCTTTATTCGTCTAAATGACTATCTAATTGAGAACACACTGCATGTCCTAGTGGTAAACGCTGTTAACACTCTTCTGAATTATCTTACTGACAAGTTAAAACGAACACCTCCAGCAGATGTCATTCAGAAATGGATTACTGAAGAGAAGCCCGAAGTCACTGATAAAAAGGTATATTCAAGATTAAATGAAAAATGAACATTGGTCAGCATTTACTGTTTACTATGTCCTATGAATTAAATCTTTTCAGGACCTGTCATACACATAGGAAATAACAGAATGAAAACCAATGTGTCTGATAATGACCTCATTGTAACAATAATGATCTAATAATAGGGTGAGAATCCACTGTGCTGATAATTTGTTGCTGCCTTCCTCATAGATACTTGCAATAGGTTATTCATGTGTTTTGTTTGACAGTTATTTCTTAAGTAGCAACTATGTGTCAGTATCCATCATGAGTGTTAGATACACAGTAGTGATACGCACAGACAGGGTCCATGCCCCTGAAGCTTGTAGTTTGGAGATTATCAAAGTCATGGACAGACCAGGAGAAAGTAGGGAAGATTACAGAAATAGAAGAAATGAGCAATGATTTGGAGGCAAGAAGCAAATGTTTGAGTGGCTAACTTCTTGGGATGATGCTGATCTTAGGGACAGAATAATTTGCGATTTTAAAAATGAAGTATAAATTTGACCATTTCATTTGAGCAAAGCTAAGATATAATTCATATTATATCCATGCTTCCCAATAAACCGTTCTCATCCTTGATGATAGCCCCATGCCAGTATACCTGGGAATATTACAAAGCATTCTTATTACCTGCTGTTGTCAGCTTCCTGCTCCCCCAAGAAGCCCAACTATGCAGTTTTGAGCCTACCACACTTTGCCTTCATTTCGCTTTTCTCCAAAAGTTGAACTGCAACCATATACCCTTTTCATCATTTTCTTTCCCCCACATTATTAATTCGTCCTTTTAAAAATACTATCTTATTTTTCTAATCGTAACAATAATATTTTTTAAATTACCAATAAGTCCAGTCTGACTCATCGCGACCCCATGGCACAGACTATAACTGCTCCTGTGGGTTTCTGGGACTGGAAATCTTCACAGGAGTAGAAAGCTACACCTTTCTCCCACAGGGCAATTGGTGCTTTTGAACTGCTGATCTTGTGGTTAGCAGTCCAGTGCATAACCCACTACACCCACCAGGGCTCCTTGATGTCTAAATGCAGGAAACACACATATGCAGGCACACACATGGGAAGCAGGGGAAAGATACAGAAGTGTTGAATGAAAAACCTACTGCTACCACAGGAAGCTGCTTCTGTGGGTAGAAGTGAAGTATTGTGCTTTATTTACTGTTTATTTGTCTAATTAGTAATATATTATTTAAAAATTCCCCAAGTCAACTAGGTATTTTTCAATGACTGAATAGTAGTCTCACATTATGTATTTGTGTTAGCAAGGAAAAGGCCCTAAATTTAAACACATTCTATACCCAGAACCAAACCCACTACCATCAAGTTGATTCTGACTCAGTGACCCTCAGCAGGTCAGAGGAGAACTGCTTCTTAAGATTTCCAACACTATACATCTTTATGGGAGCAGAGAGCCTCATCTTTTTCCCCCACAGAGCACTGCTGGATTTGAACCACCAAACTAGAAGTTAACTGCCCAATTCTTAGCCCTCCAAAACCACATGGCTTCTTTAAACAGGATAAAAACAACACAAAGACTATCAGCATAGGTGAAGGCAACAATCAACATGCGCCCAGTACAGAGGCCAATGCAATCTACCGGCTCACAAACACACCTATGATAGCGAACAAAGAAAATCCTCACGAGATCATGATAGGTGGCAGGTCAATCCATGAAGATCACAAAGGGGATCATGGATGCAGGGGAAGGACTATGATTGGGACATGTGCCCAATAGCAGATTTTAAAGGGTTACAGATTGCTTCTAGGGCTCTGACTACATGGCTATGTGTTGGTTGAGGTATGAGTTAGCTATGTCACAGCTACAAGACAAATGAGGACCCCTTTAAATTATATAACATGATTCTGATTGGCTAATTTCAGCAAATTCCCTAGTTCTTGGTGTGTGCATCTTTTTAAAAAAAAATCGTTTTATTAGGGGCTCATACAACTCTTATCACAATCCATACATACATCAATTGTGTAAAGCACATTTGTACATTCATTGCCCTCATCATTCTCAAAACATTTCCTCTCCACTTAAGCCCCCAGCATCAGGTCCTCATTTTTTCCCCTCCCTCCCTGCTCCCCCCTCCCTCATGAGTCCTTGATAATTTATAAATTATTATTTTGTCATATCCTGTCCTGCTCAACGTCTCCCTTCACCCACTTTTCTGTTGTCCGTCCCCCAGGGAGGAGGTCACATATAGATCCTTGTAATAGGTTCCCCCTTTCCAACCAACCCTCCCTCTACCCTCCCAGTATCACGACTCACACCACTGGTCTTGAAGGGATCATCCGCCCTGGATTCCCTGTGTTTCCAGTTCCTATCTGTACCAGTGTACATCCTCTGGTCTAGCCAGACTTGCAAGGTAGAATTCGGATCATGATAGTCGGGGTGGGGTGGGGTGGTGGAAGCATTTAAGAACTAGAGGAAAGTTGTATTTTTCATCATTGTTACATCGCACCTTGACTGGCTCATCTCCTCCCCGAGACCCCTCTGCAAGGGGATCTCCAGTGGCCTACTAATGGGCTTTGGGTCTCCACTCCCCATTCCCCCCCTTATTCACTATGGTAAGATTATTTGTTCTGATGATGCCTTATGCCTGATCCCTTCAACACCTCATGATCACACAGACTGTTGTGCTTCTTCCATGTGGGCTTTGTTGCTTCTGAGATAGATGGCTGCTTGTTTACCTTCAAGCCTTTAAGACCCCAGACACTATACCTTTTGATAGCTGGGCACCATCAGCTTTCTTCACCACATTTGCTTATGCACCCATTTGTCTTCAGCGATCGTATCATGGAGGTGAGCACGGCGTGTGCATCTTTCTGAGTAATGATACATCTATTTTCAACCACCTTCTTCTCTGAAAGTAAGCTGCCTGTCCCTGGACTTGCCTCGGGCTTGTCTAAGCAAAGCCATGTTGCTAGGTCCATGGGACGGGCATAGGGGAGAAGTATCATAAAGAACTCAAGGCATCTGCACTTGTCAACACTCAAAATGGGGTTAGGGCTCCCCCTTAGACCTCAGCCTTCCATAAACCAAGCGCTTTAGAGTTTAAGCTGCAATGCATACTGGGAGTCTTGTGAACAATTTCCTGTTGTTAATCACTTTCTCACCTCAAAGAACATTCTTCCTATACATTTCACATATATCTCTGATTTTCCTCCCTAGAAGGCATTCCTGGGTGTAGAATGATTAAATCATAAATATTTTGATACATAACAATACATAACTTTATAGAAAGATGCTTTTTTGGGGGGTCATATTAAAAAAGTGTTTGAGAATGAGCATTTATCCACAATGTACACTACATACAATTTTTCATTTTAAAGTTGGGCAATCTGTTGTGTGTGGAATGGTATATTGCCGCCTTATTTAAAAACGTTTCATCGCAGTTTGGTTGAAATTTTAGAGTACATTAGTTAACCATTCAACAATGTTTACATATGTTGTTTTGTGACATTGATTGCCATCCCCTCAATGTAACAGCACTTGTTCCACGTCTCACTGGGTTCCCTGTTTCCATTCATTGTCCTCCTGTTTTCTGGCCCCTTCTTACCTTTTGAGCATTAGTTTTGGGCAGACATTGTCCTTTTGATCTTGGGTGGTTGATTGTACTGAGGAAGGCATTCTTCCAGGATGTCAATAATTTTACATGCCTATCTATTGTTTAGCTGAAAGTTGATCCCAGGGGTGGGTTCAGGTTCAGGTTTAAAGGATGTATAAGGACCACAGCCTCCCAGTTCTACCAGTCTCTCATACCAGTAAGTCTTTTTCATGTTTTCTAATATTGCTCTGCATGTTTATTTCTCCCTCTCTGTTTAGGATTCTCCAGTGTGATCCTGATCAGAGCAGTTAGTAATAGTAGCTGGGCCTTATCTAGTTCCGGTCTCAGGGTAGAGATTATCCATTAATGCTTTGGACTAATTGCTTTCTTGTATCTTTGAATTTTCTTCATTCCTCTTTGCTCTAGACAAGGAGAGATCAACAGCTACATCTTAGATGGCTGCTCACAAGCTTTAAAGACTTTAGTTGCCTCTCCCCAAAGTAGGATTTAGAACACTGTCTTTGTGGCATATGCTACATTAATTGACTTAGATGTCCCCCAAAACTGTAGTCCTGTCTCCAAGCACAGTGACTCAATCCTTCAAGGTGTTTGGCTCAGATATTTTCAGAATTTTGTCCCGTTGACAAGGGGGCTTCAAAAAGTTCTTGGAATAATGAATTAAAAGATAATGGAATTTTTCCATGAGCCTTTTGAAGCCTCTCATATACTCTACAATATCCTTGGATATATTTGCAACACATCAGATAGATCAGTAGAAATAACTTCTGCTAAATCTGTACATACTTATGGGTGTAATCCCATTCACCATCCACATTTGTTCAGCCTGCATGTCTGCCTATGCATACACTCATAGATAGTGTTTGTTGTTACTATTATTGCAGGATTGTGTATGTGATGGAATTCACATGTATTGTTGTTTACTCTGATGCAGCTCCAGGGTTCCTGATCTTGGCTGTGTTATCCTAATCTCCCCCTTACTGTATATTGCCTTTCCCTTCACCAAAGTTAATGTGTCTACTCTCTTGTTAGGCATTTACTCTCCCTTCCCCTCCCACCCCTGGAAACCATTAAAAAAAGATGTTTATTTTTGAGCAAAAATCTTTGCTTGACTTTTCCAATCATGGTCTCATAAATATTGTTCTTTTGTGATTGGGTACTTTCACTCAGCATAATGTTCCCCAGGCTCATTCATGTTATGAAGCATTTTGCAGCTTCATCTTCAGGGCTGTGTAGTATTCTACGGTGTGTTGGTAGTACCTTAGTTTGTTTATCCATTCTTCCATTGATGGACATTTTGGTTGTTTCTGTCTTGTTGCTATTACCAATAGTGCTGTGATAAACATGGGTGTGGATATATCTGTGTTGCAGCACTTAGTACTCTAGGATATATATGAAGTAGAAGGATTGCTGTGTGATACGGGATTTCTATTTCCAATTTTTTAACAGAAATGCCCTGCCATCTTCCACAGTGGTTACCCCATTTTAGAGTTCCACCGCCAGTGTATCAGGGTTCCAGTCTCTCCTCACCTTTGTCAGCGATTGTTTGTTGTTTTCCTGAGCTTTTCAATTAATGCTGGGGTGAATGATAGCTCATTGTTTTGATTCTCATCTCTCTAATGGTTGATGATTGTTGTATTGCTTTATGTGTTTTTTTGTAGTCTCTGCATTTTCTTTGGTGAACCATCTGCTCCTTGCTACCTGGGTGCAGAGATACGAGATCAGAAAGATCTGGGTTTGAATTCTGTTTGCCCTTTACTAGCTAGTGTTTCTGGGATGAAGTATCTTACTTATCTAGATTTTATTTTGCTCGCAGGAGCAATAATGAGGCCTACTTCCTATGGTTGGAGTAGGAATTACTTGAACACTTAGTACTGTGATTGGCACACAATAAACACTTGATAAGCATTATTACTCAGTAAACTATTTTGAGCAAGAGAAAAGGGGAGTGGTTTGTTGATCTTTAGTACTTTTCTTTTGTGATTATTTGGATCATGCCCTTTGTCCATCTTATATTTAAGTATAAGGAAATCTCAAAATGGAAAAAAAATTTTGTCTTTTTATTAGTTCTTTCATGAAATCTTTTAACCACCTTATACATTTCTTCTACTTGAGTGTATGTACATTTGAACATTATTTTCTTCTTAGGCTATATTTCAACTGAGCACTTTTCACATCAATATTATCACCTTCCCAGAGGAATACAAAAGGTCAATGTGTTCCACTGCTAGCCCGAAGGTTGGAGGTTTGAGCCTCCCCACAGAGGAAGAAAGATCTTGTGTTCTTCTTCTAAAACATAAACCATTGAAAACCGTGGAGCCCAGTTCCCTTCTGAGATGCAGAGTTCCCACGAGTTAGAGTTGAACCAATGGCAACTGGTTTTATCTGCTATTTGCATTACGTACTGACTGATAGTTTCCCAGTTGGTTCTTTGCCCTTCCATTTTGTTTCTGCTGTTTTCATGAGAACAGACGTTTTACATTATTATGCAGTCTTTCAATTTTTGCCTTTATTATTTTCTCCCTATGATAATAGTCTGAAAGATTTCTCATGTGTCAAAATTATAAAATTAGCTAATTTATAAACAAGATTATGTGCCTTAGGTAAGGTCATATAACTTCTTTTTTTCCCTTTTCTTTTCTTTTTGACACTTAGCACTTGTGTTTGTATAAAATGTGATTTCAGGTACCACCTTTGTTGGAAAAGCAAGAGGAGGACGAATCTCTCATACCCATGTTTCTCACCGAACTGATCTTGACGGTCCAGTCCCTCCTTTTTGTGCCCTCCTTGGAAGACTTTCTGGTGCGTTTCTAACACCTGGACCACAACACCTGTTGGGAGAGGAAACAACTTCACTGCTATCAAATGGTTGGCAGGGAGGACTGCTGTGGCTACTTCTTCAAACCGACTTATACAAACATGGTCCTAATAAAATGAGACAGAGAGGGGAAGAGACAAAAGAAAGCTTTAATTACACTTACACAAAGTTTTTCTAAATGATTAGCATATTTTCTTTCTTTTATTTTTTGTTGAATTTTGTTTTGGGTTTTGAGGCAAATGCACAATGTTTGAACATGAAATTCTCCCCAGGGCATGATGCCACATTTTAAGTATTTTCTAAATTATTTGTGAGGGGTGAAAAAAGTTACCATACTTCTTTAGCTTTGGTTGTCATTTGAAGCTCATGTACCTAATTAGATACTGATTATTCTTTAAAGTATAACAGGGCCCTAAAAAATATTTTGATAGTATAAGACTATTCTGATTTAATGATTTCTAAGTAGTAAAACTTAGATATTTGGTCAATTTGATTGCTTCCTTTATTCTTTTTAATATGTCATTTTATTGGCATATAATCCAAATATCATACTATTCAATAGTTAATCATATCAAGAAGTGTTGTACAATCACTAACATAATCCCTTGTGCAATATTTTCTCTATTCTTGTACTCTTTGCTCTTGGCTCCCCATTTCCTCCCTAGCTCCCCTGCCATACCCCTGAGGAACCATTAATCCAGTTACTGTCTCTATGGATTTATCCATCTTGTATTTCACATACCAAAAAATATGCATATATACAAAAACACAGAGTCAAAAAAGCTATAACAACCATAGCAAAATATAATAGCGGAAAACCCCAATTGGAAAGAAATAGAAAATATTAAAAACAAGAACAACTTTAAAATGGGTCAGAAGGGAGATCAGATGAAAAGGTGTTCACTTTTAATGTAGTCATATCTGTCATATTCCACTCTGTCCGATATCAATGCTGTTCACATCCCTGATTGATGTTCACAGGGGATTCACCAGGGACTTCATCCACATGTATTTCCCCGTCACTCTTTTTTAAACTGCTTGCTCAAACTTTTAGAAATGTCAAAAAGTGGATTACATCAGATGTTACATTTTAACCATCCAAATCAGATGTCATATTTTCATCTGCTATATAATTATCTCTACTACACTCTCTGTCTGATGACCAGATTATTCACCTACCTCATCTATGTTTGGAGGAAAATCACCAGCGGTTCAATCTATGTGTAGATCCTGCAAATGGATTTTGGACTTCTGGCATCCATAGCCTCTGCAAAGCAGGAGTGCACTATTTAAGCTCTGATACCACTCGCTCCTTTGGATTTGGATTATATTATTTACAATCCTTGGATCACACAGGCTGGTGGGCTTCTTCCATGTGGACTTGGTTGGTGCCTCACTTAAATGGCTGCTTGTTTGAAGACAAGCCTTTAAGCCCCAGACGCTCTTCTTTCCGATAGCTGGGCACCACCTAGTTTCTTCATCACACCTTGCTGTGGTGCTCATATCTTCATTGAGCTCTTCATGAGGATGCGGATCAAGCAAGACAATGCCATAAGAACACATTTTTCTTAGATTGGGGCTAGAATGAAGTGTGGGTCCCAGATCTATTCATCTTCCTGTGATTTATATATGCCTCTGATTCACCTTAGAGACATCATTGTCCTTTTATGTTAGTGTTATCAATCATCCCCCTAGAGCATAAGGTCATTCTGTTGACAATGCCATTAAATTAGCCAATGGCAAAGAATTTAAAGCACAGTTGAGAAAAGGAAATTATACAAGTGTAGGTTCATTATAAACCAGGATACAGCATATATTCTTTAATTTGGAGCAAATCAGGAGCTTTATATAAAGACTATCAGGAATATACTAAAAACAAATGAAAATACCCCAACTCATTAGTGTCATAGCTACCTTACAGGACAGGGCGAATTTCTGAGACTGTAACTTTCTGCGGGAGTAAAAAGCCCTGTCTTTCTCTCATGAGTAGCTAGTGGTTTCAAACAGCTGACTTTGTACTCAGTAGCCCGATACATAACCAAGATGCCACAAAGGCTCCTCTATCAAAAGCATCGTCTATACAAAATTTAGATTTGGCGCAAAGATATCCTTTTAATAAGGGTCTAAAAAACCACTCGGCTGTAAGTACTATTTATTAAATAGTATTTGAGAAAATTTTGTTGGTGTTGTTTCTATTGTTATGTAACAAATTATCGTCCATTTAGCAGTTTAAGCAACTCCAACTTATCATACAGCTTCTGTGTATTAAGAGTCCTGTCTTCAAGGTCTCTCCGTGCTGGAATTTAGTGTTGAATGGAGCTGAGGTGTCATCAGAAGTGCTCTAGGGTGGTTGAAAGAATCCATCTCAATCCGTCTGTAGGGCTGAGGGATGTCACATGGAGGCAACTGTTAGGTTTCTAGCCCTGCGTACTTCCTTGCCATGTACAGCCAGTTCCAGCATGACTTTTTACACTTCAGTAGCAGCTAGAGGACTGCTACTTTAAAGACTTGCACTTTGTTCAGCCAGCTTCTCTAATGAGAATAATCTGCCTCTTCATTAACTCAAAATTAACTTAGGACCTTAATTACAGCTCTAAAATCTCCTTACTGTGCATTCAATGTAACCTAATCCTGAGAATGATATTCCCTCATCTGTAGGTCCTACCCACACTCAAGGAGAGGAGGATTATAGGGCCTCTGCATCAAAGGGAAGAAATCATGGGAGACATCTTAGAGGATATTCATAAATCAACCAGTTTATACTTTCTGTTATTAACTAATATGCTTCAGTGCAAACAGCACGAGGATCTCTGGATTCTAGTCTTGGCTTTGCAGCTAATATACTAAGAAGTGACATCGGGGAAACCACTTCTCTTTCTCTCTGGCGCTCAATTTCTGCATCTCTAAGGTGGAAAGGCATATGAATGAGTTCCAGGGTTTCTTCTGATTCCAGCACTTTTTGGCACCATGAAGTATGAAGTGGACAATTTTGTCTAAGCCACTTAAAGCGATAGGCAGACTGTGAGGTACCCCTGCTAGAGACGCTCTCAGGAACGCATACACAGACAGAGGCACTGGGCAGCCGGGCTCTGTCCTGCCCAGAAGATTCTCTTCTTTCACTTGGGATGCAGGCACTTTGTGCTGTAAAAGACACAAGCAGGCTCTCGACAGCAAGCAGTGGTTGTTCTCTTCAGTTCCAAGTGACAGGCCTCAGAAGATGACCTAGCCTTCCCATTCCCTAACGTAGAGGTGTGCCCCCAATGCAGGCATTTTAAGTTCCTCTAGGGCAGTGGTTCTTAACCTTCCTAATGCCGTGACCCTTTCATACAGTTCCTCATGGTGACCCCCCAACCATAAAATGATTTTTTGTTGCTACTTCATAACTGTCATTTTGCTACTATTATGAATCAGGCGACCGCTGTGAAAGGGTCGTTCAACCCCCAAAGGGGTCGCGAACCACAGGTTGAGAACCACTGCTCTATGTGAAGAATATATGGCCAAGCTCTAGGCAAAATACACACATCCATGTGTTCACACCAACATGTAAGACTTTACTGCATAGACTCCCCAATTAGTGTATCGTTCATAAATGTTCTGTTTTCTCTCGCTGTTACTTGGACCACTGGTCTGAGTGGCATCCCCATCAAGGACTTCACCATGCTTTTGTGTCTCTTGGTTGTTCTGAACCAACCTGTTTTCCTTCCTCGGCATTCTTCCCCAGAGCCTCTTTTCCAGCGAGTCCGCATGTGCTGCTCTTCACACTCTACACGTGCTCTCCTTGTCTGTGCCTTTTGTTGTCACTACTTCGCTTGAATTGAAGGTTGCTGCTCTTTGGTGCCATTGAGTGGGTTCTGACTCATAACCCCGTGTGGGACAGAACGACAGGATGCCCGATCTTGCTTTGTCCTCCCAGGTGTGGTTACATTGGAGCCCACTGTTTTCATTTAGAGGAGGGACCAGTACATACGCATGTCCAACTCCGGTGTTCTTCAAAGTTCCAGACTCATCGCCATCTGGAAAACACCACCAGGATTTCCAGAGTTAATTCCAACCAAGCCAAAGCAACTGCACTTATCAACTTCTTCTAAAACGGGTTCCTATCTTCCTCCCTATCTTGACCTTAGTGAAAGATACTCCCTCCAACCAGCGGCCGGGGAGTTGCCCTCCCTCCCCAAGAGCAGGCTACCACAGGCCATGATCCTTGCTTTGCATCTCTTCAGCCATTCCTCTCAGAAAGAATAGGATAATTTCCAATATACTTTTTTTTACTTAGAAAATATGAATACTAGTTTGAGGCATGGAAAGAAGAAGAGAGAATAGCTTCCTCTCTCATCAACTGTTACCATAATTGGCACTGGTCTGCCTGCCTCTTTTCCTTCAGATCTCCTTTCACATTGCTGACCATGCGATCATTCTCATAGGTAAATCCAGTTGTGCCATTTTCCGGCTTGAACTTTCTCCATGGTCTAAAGTAGCATTTCTTTATTTCTTTTTGTTTAAACTTTTATTATTATTATTAGTCATTTTATTGGGGGGCTCTTACAAACCTTCAAACAATCCATCATTCAATTGTATTAAGCACACTTGTTTATATGTTGCCATCAACATTTCCAAAACATTTTCTTTCTACTTGAGCCCTTGGTATCAACTCCCCTTTTTTCCTCTCCCTCCCCCACCTTCCCACCCTCGTGAATCCTTGATCAATTATATATTATTATTGTTATTCCGTGTCTTACACTGTCCGTTGTCTCCCTTCACCCACATTTCTGTTATTCATTCCCCTAGGTGGGGCTATATATCCAACCTTGTGATCGTTCCCCCTTATATAATCATACTCCTATTTTTCAATATTTAGGTGTCTTTCTAGTTATTATTATAAATAATGCTGCAGCGAGTGTCTTTGTACATACATATTTATTTACATGCCTAATTTTTTTCATGCTATATTTCCAGAATGGAAATTATTGCTCAAAGAATAAAATGTTTAATCCTCCCTTTAAACTGTTCTGGATTCCCTTGGGCATATTTTGGCTGTATTTCCCTAAAGATCCTATTGTATTTTGTTCATGCCTCAAATATAGTACTCCTCACAATGTGATTATTTGCCTCTCTTTCAATTGGAAAATATGTCTATTGAAAGAAGGGCCTGCGTCTTCTAATTGTAATGTGCTCAGAGCCAATGAAGACTTTGGCCTGGTTGAATGAATTATTATTATTGGTTTTGACATTATAGAAAATCCAGAGTTATTAATAAATATAAACATATGTATGCTAATATTTAAATGTATACTTCTCTCTCTAACAGGATGGTATTTCCGGTGCAATTAATCAGTTTCAAAGCACGGTGCTCTCAGTTTCTAATCTGGTGCCTGATTCATATTTCAATGCTTTCACCAGCCCTTACATTAACAACAAGCTTGAAGAAAAAACATGTGGCATGGGACCAAGCCTATTAGCAGTATTGGATGATGATAAGAATTTTCACTTGATTATCCATCAAATAAAGGTAAGCTTATCTGTCTTGAAGTTGCTTTATGATATTCTCACATTTTAAAGAAATACTAGGGATATAGCTTCTCATTTATCAGTGAAATATCTTATTTGTGAAAACTGGACTGTTGTCTAATCTCTAAATGGTAAAAGGTGGAAATAATGTTGTCTCAAAAAATTATCCTGTGAAGTATAACATCACTTTTTTAAAAAGCATTACAATATTAAAATCTTACCTGGCATTAGCATTCTACTTGCATGGGTTCCCAGTGAAGCAGGATGACTGTCAAGGATGCCGAGAGATGCAAGTGGAATCAGGCCTTCCAGCCAACATACACACTTTTTAATTGACGTTATTTGTTATTAAATAGTTTTTAGGTTTTATTAAGATACAGTGTAATTCTTTTAGTGCCATTAGAAAATAAATGTAATAGCATTAAATCATTACCCTCAAATGCAAGCACCAACTGAAGTCTTGGACCAACATACCAGCATTCATGAGGAGAGCTCAGGACGGGGCAGCATTTCCTGCTTGTTGTACATGAGGTTCCCATGAGCCCAACCCTGCTCAACAGCAATCAACAGCAGCAGCCAATGCAGACTCGAGGGCTTTGAGAATGGTTATTTCTTGTACTGAAATGGTCAGTTTATATGTCTAAAATAAAAAAACAAAAATAAATTTATAGGGAATATTGAGGTGAGAAGCTAGCAGAGGGTATCACTCCCTGGGTTGTTTCTCTGCTAGATCTCTGAGCAACATAATTTTATGCTTGGAAAACAAGAGCCAAAGCTATGACTCGTGTAAACTTTGACTTATTGCAATAGCCTGTGCTTCTGGGCACCCAAGTACTACTCCTGTACCATGCAAGCTTAATATTTACCGATTTGTCAGCCTTCAGTATCCACTGTACACATCCCCCTCCATAACCCCAAATTAGCACAATGTGTACATTTATTTAATAAAAATATTATTGTAAGTATCCCAATATGATTTCAGAAGTAAAGCACTCTGTCTTTACACCTGTTAATGATGGAGTTCTTATTCTCAACTTGATTACTTCATTCACATCATCAAGGATTATAAGCTCCTACCATGCTATTATTACACTATTCTCTTCATATTTATTTTATAATTTTAACTTTGCAAATCATTTTGATTCCATGTAGAATCAACTGTAGAACCCAATTCCAATTTTTTAACCTATATCTTTGCTTCTTTTGCACCAATAACTTGAGCTAAAAGGCCTCCACAACCTCATTTCATTCATTAACCTCCATAATATCTGACCCAGGAACAAATAACACAATAGAATTCTGTTTTATCAAACTTCTCTCCCTGGGTGAATTGTTTTCCTTTAATAGTGACTATTACATTTGTAATGGACAATTATCTATTTAGTTAGGAGGTACCAAGGATGATAGCAACTTCTCAATATTGATTTCCTTATAATATTTTCAAATATATTAAGGAACTGTGAGAACACTGCTCTTGAACATAGGGTAAATTAAAAGGAATAGAAGCAGTGATAATGTAAACAGCTGAAGTGCGGGTTTCAAAGGGCAGCTTGAGAAGGCGTAGGAAAGCCCTGTGAGAGAATGTGCAAAGACCAGGAGTTAGGAGGCAAAAGGAAAGAACGCACCTGGCACTTCTCAAACTGAAAGAATGGAAGAAAATTTAAATCTTTGCGTTTCAATATTGAAGGATTCTATGGACAAGATATTAAACAACAGAGAAAGCGACAAAAGAATATAAAACAAATAAAAGAGTGTCCCCCCCAAATTGGTTGACCTTCAACTATCTCAGGAGGTAGCATGTGATCCAGAACTGTGGGTATTAAAGGAATAAATCCAAACTGCACCTACGGCATTGGCCAAAAACAATGCCCCGGGGATTGACAGAACACCAGTTGAGACATTTCCATAAACAGACATAATGTCGGAAGCGCTCATTCATTTATGTCAAAATTGGGGAGGTAGCTACCTGGCCAACTGATGGGAAGAGATCTGGATCTGTGCCGATTCCAAGGAAAGGAGATCCCATCGAATGTTGACATTATATGACAGTAACATTTCATATTACATACGTCTAAAAGTTTGCTAAAGGTGATTCAGAAATGGCTGCAGCAAGAAATTGACAGGGAACTGCCAGAAATTCAAGCCGATTAAGAAGAGCATATGGAATGATGGCTATCATTGATATCAGCTAGATCTTGACTGAAAGACCTTGAGATTACCTGAAAAAAAGCCTGTTTCAACTCCTGGTGACCCCGTGTACAACAGGAAAAAACCACTGCCAATCATGCACCAGCCTCACAATGATTTTTATGGTTGGGACCAACGTGGCAGTCACCACGTCAGCTCCTGTTCTGGACGGTCTTTCTCATTTTCACTGACCTTTTTTACCCAATATTTGTCCAAAGTCCGTGAGATGAAGTACTCCTGGATCCCAAAGAGCATTCTGACAATACTACTTCTAAGACAGATTTGTTTGTTCTTCAGGCATCCAATGATGCTTTCAATTTTCTTCGCCAACACCAGAATTCAGATGTATCAGCTCTTCTGGGGTCTTCTTTATTCAATGTCCAATTTTCACATGAATATGAGGCCATTGAAAATACCTCACAGAGACACATTGAAGAGATCTGCTCTCTGCGATATGGCATTTGATTTCTTGACTGCCGTTTTCATGAGCATTGATTGTGGATCCAAGTAAGATGAAATCCTACAACTTCAATGTTTTCCGAGTTTGTCATGTTACCTTATTGTTCCAGTTGTGAGGATCTGGCTTTATTTCCATGTTATTGCCATGCAGACTGAAGTTGGCAGTCACTGATCTTCACTAGCAAGTGTTTCAAGTTCTCCTCGCTTTCAGCAAGCAAGGTCAAGTCATCTGCACGCTACCGGATGTTAACCAGCCTTTCCCCAGTCCTGATGCCTCATCCTTCCTCCTGGAGTCCAGTTTCTTGGATTACGTGCTCAGCCCTGACACACCTTTCCTGATTTTAAATCCTTGTTCTATTCAAAGGGCTGTCTCTTGGCTCATGCACAGGTTGTGCATGAGGACAAGTAAGTGTCTGGCATTCACATTCTTCTCAATAGTGTTTGTTACAATTCACACAGGTGAATGCTTTTGGTATAGTCAATACAACCCAACTCAACGTTTTTCTGGTATTCTCTCCTTTCAGCTGACATCAGCAGTGATATCCCTCTTTCTACAGACTCTTCTAAATTCTGGTACAATTTTTGGCAACTCCCTGTCACTGTAGTACTGCAACTATTGTTGAATTATTTTTAGCAAAACTTTACTTGCATGTGATCTCAATGATACTACCTGATACTTTCCACCTTTTGTTGAGTTTCTTTTCCTTGGAATGAACACAAGTATGAACCTCTTCTCTTTGGTTGGCTATGTAGCTGTCTTCCAGATTTCTTGGCATAGGTGAGTGATTGCTTCTATTGTTTCATTAATTTGTTGAAAGATATCAACTGGTATTCTATCAACTACCAGAGCTCATTTTCCACTAATGTCTTTAGTGCAGCTTAGACTTCTTCCTTTAGTACTATTGGTTTTTTATCACATACTATCTCTTGAATTGTTTGTAAATCAACCAGTTATTTTTGGTATAATTCTCTGCGTTTCTTCCATCTTCTTTTGATGCAGAATTATTCGAAATTTGGCTCACAGAATCCTTCAGCATTGCAAACCGAAGCTTTAATTTTTCTTCATTCTTTCAGCTTGAGATATTAACATATTCTTCCATCTTGGCTTTCTAACTCTATATTTGCCCGATCATACGTTACTTTTTCTTCTCTAGCTGTCCTTTGAAGATTTTTGTTCAGTTCTTTTACTTCATCATTTCTTCCATTGCTGGAGCTATACTGTGGCAAAGAACAAGTTTCAGAATATCTTCTGATAACCACTTTGGCTTTTTTTTAAATTTCTTGATTTTTTAAGTGACCTTTTGCTTTCTTTATGTACCATATTCTTGATGTAATCCCATAGCTCATTAGGTCTTCTGTCATTAGTGTCCAATTAATTAAATCTGTGCTTTAGATGTCCTCTAAATTTAGGGGGACGGGGGGAGATATATTCAAGATTGTACTTTGGTTCTCATGGATTTGTTTTCATCTTATTCAACTTCACCCTAACCTTGTAGAGTAACAAATGATGGGTTCTTCCACAACCAGCCCCTGGCCTTGTTTTGGCTGATGATATTGAACTTCTCCATGGTCTCTTCTCGGGTATTGCATGTGGTGAGGTCCATGTATACCATCCCCATTTATGTTTCAGAAAAAGATATTTGCAATAAAGAAGTTGTTTTTACCCAGGAGAGGTAGTCCATCCCCATGAAGTGCCAACGCCCTCCCCCACCTGGACCACACCCCTTCCCTCCCCTGCACTTGAATGAGATTGCACATTAACTACTCTAAGTAGAGGTGGCATTGGGAAATGGGAACCATGAAGATGTCAGTGAAACTGATGAGAATACACTAAATGCCTTTGTAATAAAAAAATAAAATAAAAAATAAAGGAGTTATTGTTCCTACTTATTTGTTTCTAACATTTACATTCCAATCACCAGTAGTTACCGATGCACTTCAATTGCATATTTGATCCATTTCAGAATGAAGAAGTTGGTAGAATTGTTCTACTTCTTCATCACCAACTGTAGTGCTTAGTATGTACATTTGAATAATAATTGTATTAACTGGATTTCCTTGTAGGTGTCTGGATACTATCCTATTACAAACAGCATTGAATTTCAAGATAGATCTTGAAATGTCCTTTTTGAAAATGAATGTGGTACCATTCCTCTTGAAATTGTCATTACTAGAATGGTGAATGATTGCTGTTTCAAAATGGCCAATGTCTGTCCATTTCAGCTCACTAATGCCTGGGATATCCATCTTTATGCATTCCACTTCATTTTTGACAACTTCAGTTTTTGTAGATTCAGATTTGGTGAGGTCCATGTTCCTATTATTAAGAGATGTTTGTAGCCATTTCCTCCATGTGGTTCATGATGACTCAGTCATATTTTGAGTGCCTTTCAAAAAGAATGGCTTATCATCTGTCATCATAGCAGACAACATTTTGTTGCTATTTGTAAGGTTTTCAGTGGCTAATCTTTCAGAAGTGGACAGCCCATGAAAACTGGTCAGCTGGGGTGACCCTGCTAGTATTTGAAATAGCATCATAGGAACACACAAGCCACCACCAAATGACAAACTGACAGACAGCTAGAGGATTAGAACATGGATTGTAATAATAAAGGACAAAAATTGGGCAAATGATTCATTTGTATAAGTTCTGTAATCAGATAACAGTATTGATGTTAATGTCTTTATTTAGATCATTGTTCTATGGTTATGGAAGAAAGTATGTCATTGGTAAATAAATCTTGGCTTTATTTAGGTAGGAAGTATGTGCAACTTTATCCCAAATGGTTCAGAGTTAAATAAGTATCATAAAGCAAATGTAGTTAAATTACTGAAATGTGGGGATGTTTGAGGACAAATATGTGGAGTTCTGTGTACTCTTCTAGCAGAGTCCTGATGGTGCCCAGGATTGACTGCTTCACTGCTAACTGACACACTGGTGGTTTGAACATTCCCCCTCACCCAGCAGCTCCCCCAGACAAAGATCTGGGGTCTGCCGTAGTAAAGATGACAGCCACAAAGACCCCAGGGTCTGCTCCATCTCATCAAGTCACTATGAGTCAAACTAGCTGAGAGGAATTACTAAGAGGCAGAAGGGCAACTGTGATGGTGGGTCAGGAGAAAGGTAAAGGGAAACAGCGGAAACATCTAGAAAACAAAGCTAAGAATAGAGGTATAAGCATAGGTGTGCACTTATGTAAATATATTCATAAAAATAGAGGTATTGGCCTAGATACATATATTTATATGGCAATACATTGAGGAAGTGGACAGACTTTGGGCCTCTGTCAAGCCCTCTATCAATGCAAAAACATTGCATTTTGTTCCAACAACCTGGCATGCTCACCCTCCTAACACAATCACTGAAGACAAAATGGGGGCATAAGCAAATGTGGTGAAGAAAGCTGATGGTACCCAGTCATCAAAAGATATAGTGTCTGGGGTCTTAAAGGCTTGAAGTTAAACAAGCAGCCATCTATCAGAGAATCAATAAGCCCACATGGAAGAAGCACACAAGCGGGTGCGAACATAAGGTATTGACAGGATTGGGTAACAGCCTTTAGAAGACTCAAAACAAACAAACAGACAAACAAAATATTGCTGATAATGAGGGGCCAGAGCAGAGACTCAAAACCCATCTATAGACAATAGGACATCCCCTCACAGAAGTGTCACAAGGAAGGGATGGGTCAACCAGGGCACAGTATAGAACTAATGAAACACAGAATGAATTCCTCTGGTTCCTTAAGGCTTCCTCACCCCACACTCCACCCCCACTATCATTACCCCAGTCCTGCCTTTCAGTTCTGGCTAGACTAGATCACGTACACTGGTACAGATAAGAATTCCTCAGGAACAGAAATGGGAGTAGCAATACCAGGAGGGTAAGGGGTAGGTAGGGGGAGAAGGGAGAACTGATCGCAATGATTAATGCATAACCCCCTTCCAACCAGAGGGATGAACAACAGAAATGTGGGTGAATGGAGACAGCGGTCAGTGAGAGATATAAAAATAATTAATTTATAATTTATCAAGGGGTCACAAGGGAAGGGGGGGTGAAGAGGAGCTGCTAACAAAGACTCAAGTAGGAAGTAAATGTTTAGAAAATGATGGTGGCAACATATGTACAAATATGCTTGACACAATGGATGTATGGAATGTTATAAGAGCTGTAAGAGCTTCCAATAAAATGAATTTTTAAGTAAAAGGAAATAAGTGAAGAAATAATTGAATCTATAACCCTAATTAACTACCGTAAAGTAGATTCTAGTTCATAGTGACCCTATAGGCAATTTGCATTTACAAAAGCCGAAAGCCTCATTTCCCTTCCCTCTATAATCAAAAAGGTGTGTGCTATTCTTTCAAATTAAATGACCTACTACTAGCCTACCACCCTGAAAGCAGAACTCTGTGTCACTTTCTTAATTGACATACACTTTGCATTTTAAAAGACAAGCAGTTATGTGTTTATCAGTGAGACGTGTAAGTTTATACAAAGCTGCAAAGTATGAGTGTGGTTTCTTTCCGTCATAAGAACAATCTTTTGAAAGAATTGAAGTTTGAGCTTTAAATTTTATTAATTTTAAATTTTATTAGAGTTCCTTCTTAAGTCCATTAATTGCTCCTTGACATCAAGAATTGTATCTTTATTGATTTAGGGATCCATAGGCAGGGCTCAGAAAAGGTATTCATGTTGTTTGTTTACTTGTATTTAGTGGATTTGACTTTGGAAAAAATGTTGTGTTGTTTGTCTGTTTGTTCATAAAATTTAGGAAGCTATTAAGGCAGCATTTGAAACTGCCCAGTTATATGCAGCGACCTTTGAAAAGTTCCAGATATTCTTCAAGGAAAATGAAAGTCTTGATTTACAAGCTCTGAAACTTCAGGAACCAGGTACGTTTTCCATTTATCCTTAGTAATTAATTTTAATAGGCATATCGAAGTTTGTTGTCTTCTAGGTTTCTGTTTGGTACTATATTGTGACAGAAATGGAACTCTTTAGAGAGCTGGCCTGAGAGAAACGAAGATTTTATCCATTGCTAGGCTGTTGACTAGAGTTACATTTTCCTTTAGCCTTATTTACTCCTCCTTTATTTCAGGTATTTGGGGGAAGCAATTTGTTCCTAATGGTCTATCTTTTGGGATGAAGTTATACTAGTGTTAAGGCTATATGTTTAGCCTGTGCATGGGAAGGATTTAAAAGGAATATATACCTCTACAAATTCCATTAAATAAAATTTAAATAAGTGTTTACCTATTTCAGGAATTAAAGTTACTTTATTTTATTTTATTTATTTTACTACGTTTCTGAGATTAAATTTAAACCTGGTAGGTGAACACCAATCCCTCAGGGAATTCGTCTCAAAGAGAAATGGTTTTATTATGCTGAGGCTCTTCAACTAAAGAAACGCATTTTCTTTGTTTTTTAAATCATTTTATTGGGGGCACGTACAACTCTTATCACAATCCATCCATCCACCCATTGTGTCAAGCACATTTGTATATTTGTTGCCACCATCATTCTCAAAACATAACAAACTGATTTTCAATACCCAACTGAAATTCCAGGCCAGAAAGATCTCAAATGATTAACAAAAATTAGATATATATCATTTGGTATGACTATTTTAAAATGTGGAGTGTAGTGGTCATATTTTTTTAATTTCCTGAACTAGCTTTGTAGTTTTATTTTCTTGAGTACAAAAATAATTACTTTGTTACTTTGCCTCAAGAGCCAGTATAATGTTTTCTTTGTGTGTGCAATAAGTTGGTTTTCTTCTAAATTTTTATTTTTATTATACTGAATCATAAAAATCTGTCTTCTATCTCAATTGATTGAATTATTCTGGTTTGATGTAAACAGAATCCTACACTGTATTACCTTTGTGACCAGCTTCTTTCATTTAGCATCATGTGCTGGAGACTTATCCACTTTATATATCACTGCTTCATGTCATCTGTGGCTAAATAATAACCATTGTATTTATATATCTCAGTGTTTATCCATTTATTCTTTGATGGACATTTGGGTTGTTTTCACCTTTCACATCTTATGGGGTTGTATGGCAATTCTTTGTTTAAGTTTTTTCAGCACCTGTGATCAGCTTTTCACAGCAGTTGCACTGTTTTATATTCCAAACAATACAAGAATTCTCATTTCTCCATATCCTTGTCAACACTCGTTATTTTCTGTTGTTATAAATTATAGCCATCCTAGTGGATATGAGTGCTACCTCACTTTGGCTTTGACTTATATTTCCTTAACAATTACTAATATTGACTATCTTTTCATTTGCTAAGTGGCCATTTATATATCCTCTTGGAGAAATGTCTATTCAAGATATTTGCCTTTTTTAATTAAATTGTTTTGTTGTTGACATACAATTTCTTTACAGGGTGTGGATAGTAGATCTTTATCAGATATGTGATTTGCAATTTTTTACATTTTCTTGATAGTGTCTACTGAGTCACAAGCATTTTTAAAATCTTTGATGAAATTAAATGTATCTATGTTTTCTTTTGCTGCCATGATTTCATTATTTAAGAATCCATTGCCAAGTCCAAGTCATGAAGTGTTACCTTTATTTTCCTGTAAGAAATTTAGGTCACTGGTCTATTTTTTAATTAATACTTTTGTATCATAAATATTTTGTATGGGTCCCTCAATTAAAAAAACTGAAACAAGGTCCCTTTTTTCAAGATACTTGTATCCTAGAGAGACAAACATCAAATATCAATTTAGGAAGAAAAATTAGACAAGTCTATTTCCACTATTCTTTGCAACACTAACATGCCAGAACAGGTGTGCACTGAACAGAAGTGAATTGGCAGGGGTGTGGTGTCTCATATGCTATGAGATGCCACCACAGAGGTAATATGGTATGGAACCTGGCATTTAATTACAGTCTCAGAAAACCACGGGGTTATTCTAACCTGTACTATCAGATTGGTTTGAGTTGGTATCGACTTGTGGGCAGTATGTTTGTTTTTGGTCTTGGTACCTGATAGATTGGTAAATGAAGAAAATGGATGAAGGAAAATTATCTGGATTCACCTGCAATGTTAGCCAAGATAAAATGGAGAAGGGGTGTAACTGAGGTTGGGAGCCAAAGGGGCAGGGAAGTGCTGGGAGGAGAAAAAGAGAACTCATGTGGGGAAGAGAAATGTAGCTGTTTGCTCCCTTAGGTTTTGAGCTTTGTCATTGCAACTGTTGTTGATATTTTCAAATTGTTTCCATCGGAGGACATCCCTTAGATTAAGCCTAATTTCAGACAAACCTAACTCTAGAATCTAGTTTGTACCAGATTAGATTCACAAATGCAATCTCAAGGCTTTTGGTTTTTCCCATCTGTTATCTCTTAATTGGGAGATATTACAATATTTAGTATAAGAATAAAATAGCATAAAACATTTTTAATTAACACTTTTTTTCTTTCTTTTATTTTTTTTAACCATTTCGATCTTTATTTATTATTTTTTAATCATTTTATTAGGGGCTCATACAACTCTTATCACAATCCATACATACGTCAATTGTGTAAAGCACCTTTGTACATTCATTGCCCTCATCATTCTCAGAACATTTCCTCTCCACTTAAGCCCCTTGCATCAGGTCCTCATTTTTTCCCTCCTACCCTGCTCCCCCCTCCCTCATGAGCCCTTGATAATTTATAAATTATTATTTTGTCATATCTTGCCCTGTCCAACGTCTCCCTTCA